GCCAGAATGATGTGAGACCCGATTATCTCAGATACCCCTTAATGTTGGGGGGGTTTTCAACACCGCATCCCACCGCTGCATACGTGTTCGTTTTACGGCAAACACTCGGCGCAAGCAGTGGCGCACAGGATTTGTTTGGGATGGAACTCAACTTACACTGCCTGATGATCACCCGCACTTCAGAGTCATCGTTACAATCAAGTCCAACAAGCGACTTGCGAAGGAGTATAAAACTGGCCTCCACGTCGAGAACAGTTCCTCCTGCTTCGTGCCTTCAACCACAACTACCACAATCCCCACCCCACCCCTAAAACTTATTTACGTGACCGTGCTCGCTACCCACAATGGTTGACGACCAGACACTCGAGAGACTGGCCAAGGCTTCAGACAACGCGTACCAAGAAATGAAGTATATTGGGGACACAGACGCGGAAGCGAAGATGAAGGCCGCGCTTAAGGCCATAGAAACCATGATGGACCTGCTCGAGGTTTGCGAGATAGACGACATCATAAAAACGGCCGCCAAAGCGAGAACCGTCAACGTTCGGAACTTCTTGGAACATGTTGCCGCGGACGGCCCCCTTGCCGAGTCTAGGAAGGAGCTCGTGGAGCTCATGGACAAAATGGAGAAGTGTGTCAAGTGAGCGTCTTGTAGCAAGGCTGGAGTCGTTGAGGGGTGCTGATTTGGTGTTGCACGTAATATGGTTTTGATTAAACTTGGTTAAAGAATATTTGTACTCTGCGGCCTTGTAATGCAGAGTTGTTACTTTCGTGAGTACCTCTATTTTACAGCCGTGAACTTCACTTTTTCTGTCGCTCATGTCCTCTCCAAGACCTCCATTTTCCCCGTCAAACGTGTGTGCTATCTCGTTTTCCACCGCCACTTCTTCTCCAGGGGAGACATTTCCGGATCATACCTACGTTGCCAAGGTCGCCAAGTTGTTGAGAATGGTTTGATCAACGACTGTGAGCCAACCATCATTGCCACTGTCCCTTAAAACACGGTGATAGTTTCCACTCAGTAGACTAGAGAGAACGGGTCACCGTAAATGGCTTCACCTGAGACTCCTTCGCGCTCGTTCTTTATTGGAATGTGCATACACGAACACACCCGGAAAGCTGTTCAACAACTGCGAAGCCCTTATCTTCCAGTCAACGCGGGGAGCTTCGTGGCCCGCATTCTTGCCAAGGCAGATTCCAAGAGCTGTATCACCCAACTTCAGAGAGCCTTCTCAGTCAATATCAGGATGGAAAAAAAATTGATAGGCCAAGGAGGGCTCAAGTGAAGCATCCTGGCCGCTGGTCACGCCAATGAACATTGCTCAGAAAGTGTCGCCCACAGGCGCGCAGGCGGCGGCGCTTAATTACATTGCGACCTGAAACGCGACCCCCCCTAAACTCCAGCTGCAGCTCCCGAATCCATCCTAAACTGAGGTACAGCACACCCTCTCCGTCTAACTCGAGCTACATACTTGATTAGCTAAAGTAACCAATGTCCTAATCATCACCTTATAAAGGCGATGGACACTCGCACTCGAGACTCCCTTAGCCAACAGACTTTCACAACCCAAGCAAGTCAAACCCAAGCCCGCCCTCTCAAGTCTCAACCCAACCAAAACACCAGACTCAACACCTCCCAAAAACCTCCCTCTCAAAATGCAAAGATACTGGGACCCCGACCGCGTCCTCGACGTGACCGGCCAAGCATGGCCAGGCGGCATCCAGTGCCGCGGCCAGAACAGCAGCGGCAACCGCTGCGAATGGATCAAGCGCGGACACGCCGACGAAGCCCAGGACGCGCGTGACGCGCTGGCCCGCCTCGAGACGCTGGCGCGCAGGCCGCCATCTGCCGTCACTGCCGCGGACCTGCACGCACTCGCCCCGCTGTGTCTCTGCAGGGACTACCACATGCGGCAGAGCGACACCATCGTGGCGGAGTGGGAAGTGGCGCTGGCGGTCTTGGAGAGCCGGACGCCGGCTAGGGACGCTGGTTCGCCAGAGGAAGATGAGAATGATTCAGGGTACGGATCGCTGCCGTCGTCCTCGTCACCGTCGCCGTCGAAGAAGGAGGTAAAGAGGGCGCTTGGGCCGAGCGGAGTACTACGTGGCCCCGAAGACGAGGGCTTGACGGCGGCCAGGCTTGCCGAGACCGAGGCCCAGCTTGGGCAGATGCGTGACTTGGTCGTCGCTCTCCGGCGCGACAAGGCGGCGCTGGACACCGACCGCGAGGGCTTGAAGCTGCTTGTCTCGGACAACGCCGCTCGGTCGGAGACGCTGCAGCAGCGCCTTGCCGAGTCCGTGGCGGAGGGGGACAAGGTCCTGGCTGAGAGGGATTCTCAACTGCGGACGCTGAAGAAACGTGTGGCCGATGCAGAGGCTGGTCTGAAGGACAAGGACAAGGAGCTGGAGGCTGTTATGAAAGAGCTGTCAGTGTGCGTGATGAGGAACCATAAAGAAGTGACCGCTGTGGTGCAAGACAAGGAGGCCGAGCTACGTGAAGCGGGATTGAGGGAGGCACGCAGGATTGGCATGAAGGACATGGAGATTCAGAGCCTCAGAGAGCAGCTGGCTGCTGAGCGCGCGCAACACGCCACGGACATCAACGACAAGGACACAGAGATGCAGGCTATGGGGAGCAAGAGCAAGTGCCTTCTCGACCAAGCTCGGCGCCAGATCCAACAGGCGGAGTCTGAAATCCGACAAAAGGGGACCGAGCTTCAGCGGGAACAGGCCAAGCTCGCCAGCTCACAGTCGGACGCATCCATGCTCGAGGCTGAAGTCACTCGTCTCAGGGTCCGAGTGCAGGACCTGGAGAGTGCCTTGAAAGCGGCGCAATCGGATGCGCCTGTGGAACGGCCCGTGGCGCCGCCAAGCCTTGCTAGGCAGGCTGTTCATTATCGACGCAAGGAAGGTTGGGTTGGCCGTTTGAAGAGGTGGGCAAAGGCCGTGGATCCGACACATTCGAAGAAGCAATCTCAAATCTGAGATGGGAGTGTTTGGCTGTTTCTTTTGCAGAGGATGAATCATTGGGTCGTGAATGTGCAGTGGTGAAGCAGGTCTATCACCTAAGTTATCGAATGGCCTTACTGGCTGGCTCGGTTGGTTCTCATTCATCTTCCTAGACGGACAGAATGTATGTTTATTCGTCATTACTTCACATTGTTCTTATGTCGTAATATGTCTATCTCATACATGTGGTGCGCTTTATGTGCCCTGGGCGAGAAATTTGATCTTGTATAGCGGTAGTAAGGTTCTTAAGCCGGCCGGTATAACTCTATCGGTGCCGTTTAATTATTTTGACTTTTTACTATACCGCGGTAAATGCATGTGTTAACCTTTAATATGTACGTGGTGATAGGTATAAGCCATTTCACTTTTGTGATAAATCTAATTGTGGAAGCTCCCCCTTAAGGCAAGTCTTATTGAAGCAGACGAAATATAACATGTCTATCTCATAATAGGCCTTCCCATCTAGGTTTCCATCTTGTACCAGAATTGGTTTACTGTCCAGACTATCGTGAGACTACATAAGCCTTGCTCTCGCGAGCTCAGGTATCTCTCAGTCTCTCTTCACGAAGCTATCAACCCGCGCAAGACATCTTCGAGTATTTCAGCCACACAAGCCTTTTGAATCAAGCTGGAAACGACGCCTTTTTTCCTTGCTCAAACCCACAGCCACCACACACAGAAAAGGCTTCAGCCTCCCGAGAATACACGTTCCAAAAGCGCATACCTACCTCACTTATCGCATATCAAGCATTGCAGTAACCACACCACAACGACAATGTCCGCCACCGATCTCGCCTGCCTGATAGCCACCGACTCGGAGCTCGAGACCATGCTCGCCAAGCTCAAGGAGCTCAAAGAAAACGTAGAGAAGGGCGAAAAGGAGCTCGAGCGGCTCGCCGACACGCTCTCGGGCGACCCCGAGACCTGGACGGAGACGATGCGTGACACGGTGCAGGAGGTCCGCTTCCAGGTAGCGGTGCACTACAAGATGCGGGAAGAGCTGGAGGACGTGGCCAGGCGCATGGCGGGCGACGAGGACGCGTGGGAGGCGGCTGAGGCCGAGGTCAAGAAGTGGATGGGCGCTGCTGACCCCCCCGTCCCGCCCGACGGCTACTACACCGCGCGCGACGCCCTCTACTTCATGGGCCAGGAGCTCGTCTGGCTCAAGGAGATTGCCAACGCCATCGAGCCCCAGATCGAGGCCACCATAGACGAGGTGCGGGAGTAGTTGCGCGTCGAGCAGGTCCGGGAGCAGCTGCGTGGGAACCAGGAGTGGTCCGACAGCCCCAGGTTGGACTGGTGATTTGGAAAGGGATGGATGATGGTAGTGCATGAGAACTGTTACTCTTGAGGGCTTTCCTCTTTTTCTTTTCTTTCTTCTTTCTTTTTTCTGTTTCAGAAAGTGAAAGTAATCGGCAAGTTTTGGGGTAGACAATTGCATATTCAGGCATAAATGATGAGACCTCCAGCTACGGTATCATTGAGGTGCTTGTTATATGTCCTGTACAGTATTTGTGTATCCGTACCATGTTTGGTACGGACGGCGCTGTAGACTGTGGTCTAATTCGGGATAAGAAAATCAGGTTATGCGACCATCTGCTCCGATTGACAGGTCCCTCAAAGTTGCGGCCTAAAAGTCCGGATGATTCCACTCCCAAAAAGCCTCCGGGAAGCCCACTCGTCGGGCTACCAAAACGCCTCTGAGCCAGATGTAACCTCCCTCAGGTTAATAGCAAAACGCAGTGGAGGTCAGGCCAAAAGGGGCCCGCCCCGCCAAAACAAGGACCGCGATAAGATAGGCGGCGATTAGGTAATGTGTCGCGCTCGCCTTTAATGAGGGCGCTTGGCGTGCACCAGCAATTGTGGAAACGAACCTTGCGACCTGGGACGCGGCTCCCCCGAACCCGTGAAATTACTGCCTCGTGGGCCTGGTTTCCCCCATCATGCCGATAGCCGAGCAATGGAGCAAAAAGGGGGTAAAAAGAAAATCGTGACGAAAGTGGGGTTCGAACCCACGCTCTCTTTCGAGAAGTTGAAGTAAGCGTGCTTTTCTTAAGTCAACCGCCTTAACCTCTCGGCCATTCCGTCGTTGCGAAGCGCTGAAAAATTCGCCTCTTAACCGTGCTTACGGAGCGCCGCGCGCTGGTGATGCGCTGTTGCCAGGCAGCTGCGCCCCTGAACCTCTGAAGCTCCACTGACGTCTGGCATCCAACGCGCTAAACCTTTAGTGGGCCGGTCACTGAGAGCCTCCACTCTATTCTAGGTCGCATGGTGAGCGAGAAACTGACCACACCCAAGGTCTATATAGGTAACATCCGTCTTACACACCCGCCATGGACATCACCTGCGAAGTATATCAAGATATCTCTTTATTTTACATTCATTTTGATGTCCATAGTGATAGCGGTGCCAGGATTCCTGCTTGTATATTGAGCGAGAAGCATTCCGTAATAGTAAGCTCCCTGTTCCGTTTCTGCTATGGCAGCACATTGGAATCGGTCATTGCTAGAAATATTTGTGCATCTCATCGGCGATGAAGTTGGTACGGTTTTGGCAGGCTTTAGAAGATAATTCCTCACGAGAACTTATAAGACGTTAGGCAAGTGTATTATTCTCTTTGTCGGACACCTAACACATACTCCCATTACGTATTTGCCTAGTAACAAAGCATTGAAACCAACTTATATTAACTTCCATGCTAATACATTGATGGACGGTAGTAAGACTCGTCTTCAATTGCCACTCCGAGCAACGTTTCCTCCGCATCAATATCTAGTCTGGGGTCGATGTTAGCAAAACATCGTGCTCTCAGCATCCAAGAGAACTCAACCTCCATCTTGACGGCGTGCAAAATCCCAAAAACTTCCTCGGCGATGGCCGAGTCTGAAAAGACGAGCTCTAGACTACCCTCAGACACCTGCCTGAAGGTTGAGTTGGCTTTGTCTAGGGGATGGATGGAGATTCGTTCTGGGGCTGGCCTCGCCAAGGTGTGGAATGCATAATAGAACCCAGCCTCATTATTACGGTTCCGGAGTTCGAGGTAGTTTGGAATATTGATCCTCTGAGCCGTATAACCTCTAGGTAAAGCCAAATCATCGTCGGAGGATAGCCTGAGTACTAGCATGGCACTCCTGCCTGAAGCTATCTTGGTCCTGAGCCCGACCTCGGAGAGCTGGGGTACACCGGTCCAAATTTTGTCGCATATGACCTTCGCCGCAGTCCACGTCTTTGCCTCGATGGTGTCAATGAGCTTCCGGTTAAGGGGCCGGAATGGGCTGGAAGCTTCGGCCGGGGCTAGTGGCGGTGCCGGTGCCGGTGCCGGATGGTTGTCTGGCCGCGTGGCGGGCTGCATGTGGATGGTGAACTCGGCCTCTTCAAACCGTGGATGGTCTCTGTCCATGACGACGAGCGTCTCCTTGACGTGTTTCCGCGATTCTTGGAGGGCGGTGACCTTCTCGTCGACTTGTTTCAGCAGCTTGGCTAAGTCGTCTTGGCTTTGGCTGCGGACCTGACTCTTGTCAGCGAGGGAATCCAGGCAGGCAGGCCAGTGCGAGCACTGGATCCGCTAGTGGCAAGAAATAAAAGCGACCGTACCAAGTCGAGACCTGCAGCATGAAGGATATCGTCTCGCGCTCTTTCGCCAGCGCCTGCTTGAGGAGCACGACCTCCTTCTTGTTCCATAGCCAGCTAATGCAGGTGAGGAGTTGGCCCTTGGCGGACCTTGTTCGTCTTGATCTTGGACTTGCTGACGCAGTCCTCGATCTGCTTGAGAGTGTCGGCGCATGTGGCGACCAGCTCCCGGCAGCTGTCAAGAAGGAGCGCCTGCGAGCCGGCGTCTGCGCCGCTGTCCTTCCGGGCGACGAGCAGCGCTTTCAGCGCCAAGAGCGCAGCGTTCAGCGAGCTCAACTCGGTAGTCAGCTCCTCGACGTAGCGGGGAACGTCGACCACGTCGTTGATGTACTCGTAAAACCCGACGAGGATCTTCCTGCTGGTTACGCAGAGGGTTGAGATCGCGGTAGCGGAGAACGGCTCCATATTCGATGTTGCTGTCGGTGCTTGAGAAGACGATGCCTTTATTGGTGAGTCGGTTCGGCTCTAGAGCCGGAAGCTGCGACGACGGAGTGTGGAAAGGAAGCTGGATATTTGGCCAGTGACGTCTACATTGGTTCGAGTAAGCCTCGGAGCCTAGTCTGAAATTTACACGCTGATGTATAGTAATGTGCAGCAGATTTCATCCCAGTCAGCCCATCGGCCCTATGTATGCCTTGGCGTCCAATGGCGTGTCTTGGTGTGGGAGCTCTTATCACTGAACAAACATTCCACGCCCCCCCTTGTGGGTCTCCAGCACATGTTGGGAGAGTGACTGTAACAGTGCAGGTACCTACTAACCAATTTATTTATGTAGCAATGCAATGTGAGTTTGGGCCGTTTGTTGTTGCCGATTCATTTTCCATGTAATATTCTCAAGATCACCACGCCATCCTTGCCGAGCCCTAATTAGTTTAACAAGCAGAAGCGGGCGAAACCTTGCCTTGACCACTGAATAACCCATAAACGGAAACTCCCCGGGGTATTTTTTTGCTTGAGTGTGACTCAATAATTCCACCCGCCAGGGTTGAAAATTTGAAGCTCCAGTCACCAACCTTAAAAGAAAGAAAAGTAAAATGAAGGCAAATCGTAAGAGTCGCAATGAAGATAAGAGGTTAATGGGCAGGTGTTTCAGGCTATAGAGACAGACTAGTTAGGCGTATCGAAAAATGTTCCATGTCTGGCCCTGTATGCGTTATGCCCTCGGCTTTGTAATAATAGCCGGTGACAATGTTTTTACAATTTGCGATTGCAACCTTGTCAAGTCCTTTTCCTCGCCCGTCAGCAAGCACCGTTTTACGGAACCCTCTTTGGGTGGAGACGACTTAGTGATTGCAAACTTCCTAACTGAGAGACCTTGGAACTCGGCAGTGACTGAAGTCTCGGACATTGTGGTAACTGAAACGTCGGGGAGGGCCGCGGAAATAGTGAGTCCCCAAGTACCGGTCTCTCGAGGGTAGCCTCTTGCTAACGCAAAGCTAGGTCGTGGTATGGGGCTCAGGGTAGGGTAATCCAATCGGGTTGAGAAAATCTAAACAAGTGCTTTAGAGCTCGGCTAACGGCGGGGGTGATTGGTGTCAGGAACTTGATCTCTTACCAGGCTCGGACACATGATGTATTCATCCTGGTCACCCTGTTTCTTTGCCCGCTGTCGTGGTCTCTTCTTTTCAAAAATATCCGCAACAACCAGCGTATGATCCAGTAAGATGACGCGGCACCAGCGCCAGACAGATCCAGAAAGCTCAGAGGGCCACAACCGACAGAATAAAGTGCATTGCTCAATGATTTGTCGGGCTTGATTGTCCAGCTGCAGCGCTTCCAAGGAAGGTATAGATCTGCTTATCGGATTCTTTTGGTGATAAGCTTCAAACGACACCCGGAGCTTTTCGATTTCGACCGTGTTCTCGGCTGCCCATACGATTTCGTCGCATGAACGTGTCATCTGGTTCATCTGTTCAAGTACTTCCCGAAGCTGTTGCAGAGAGACGGAACTCTCCTCATCCAACGGGCCTTGTTCAGTTCCCCGTTCAAGAGCTCGAACCATGGTGTGCAATTGCAAACAGGACCGTTGAAGCTGTGAGATGGGGCTTTTCAGGTACGTAATCCAGTCAAGTCTCTTAACTCCCGGATGCTGGAGCTGTCGCTCGAGGTAAGCTGCAAAGGTGGGATTGGTTTGGACCTCAAGCTGTATCTTGTATTTCGCCATTAGAAATCTTCGACAAAAGTCTTCCAGCAGCGGCCTCGCATGTTCCAATGGGTCCAGAAAGGGCTTTGGTTGTAATGGTGTCCAGGGGCCGAATGTTTGCCAGGCGACGACAAGCGGCAGTGCAAGCTCCTTTTGATATATGCCATGGAGTTCTTGCAATAGTGGAAAGTTGGAGTCCACGAAAGCCTCAGGGTTTTGGACTGGCGCTGGCCAAGTTGTGAACAAGGGGTCTCGGTAGTGTATCATGAACCTTTTGAGTTGATCAAGATACTCCATTTGTGACTGGAGAAGTTCCCACCATGCATTTTGATATTCCAGTTCATAGACGGCCGTCTCTGACCTGTCATTGATTGAATGGAAAATATCGGCCCAAAACGTTTTCGCCAGTGCCGCTTCTATGATTTCGCCATCTGTAAGTTGCCGGGATGGTGTGGCGGCTCCTTCTGGGTTAGTTCCTTGGGTGGTAGTTGGAGCGCTTGGTTTTGACAAATTGGACGCAGAGTCTTCAACTACCGTGTCACGACTTTGCTTCAAGCCCATGGCAGCGGCCAAGACTGCGGTACGCCCGGGCATTGACGATCTGGTCGTCAAACGAGAACTCAGCCGTGTCCAGTGTCGAGGCATTGTCTCCAAAGATGCTCTCGGCAGTTCGCCGCTCGCCGAGGACGGACTCGGGCACCTGCTTTTCAGATCCAGGGTAGGTAGCGCGCAAGACGCGGATGTCTCTGCGAATCTGGTTGATGGCGTCGCCTTGGCCCTCCAAGAGCTGCCGAGTGGCGATGGCGGATTCACTGTAGATGTCAGCACCATCCATGCAAGGTAAGAAAACGATCCTCCCATTCTGTCGTAACAAGTTGTTCATAGGCTGCACTAGGAAACGGGTTTGTCTCACGTTTGGAGACATTGCAGCAGAAAGCTCAGGGCCGTCGCCTGACCACGAATTTGGACGAGCAGCTCTTTCATCTCACTCTCCTTCCACAAAGCCAAGATTTTCTGTGTGGTGGACAAGTCGCCGCGGTCAGTGATGGCGCGGTGGAGGGTCTCGACCTCCTCGTGGAGACAGGAATACAAGAGCATGCAGCCGGTCAGGGAAGTGTCGCAGGCCGAAGCCAGCTCTGGTCGCCCCTGAAACCTGCCGAACACCTCATCCTGGCGGGTGAGAAAGAGGTCCTGGAGCCGGCTCAGACTGGCGTTGATGACGGACGACTCGGTGCAGATTGCCGTTATTGTGAGCGTTGAATGAGTGAATTTCCTCCGCAGGTCGCTGAGCTGCTTCGTGACCGAGACGCACTTG